AGATGTGTATAAGAGACAGGAGAGAGAGAGAGAGAGAGAGAGAGAGAGAGAGAGAGAGAGAGAGAGAGTGGTGGTACGGGAAAGGAGTGGGGGGAAAAGGGGGGGAAAGATTGTGTATATATAAAATTAAGACCTGAGGAAAAGAGGGACAAATGCTGGTTTAGTGGAGATGGTTGAGAAATGAGGCCCGCCAGAAATAGAGGTCTACGGGTGTTGGGCAAGGCCATTCAGGACGCGGCAGGGTAGTAAGGAGCTGGAAGTGGGAGGAAGAGGAAAGGAAAATGCAAGAGTGCATGAAAAGTAGGAAGAGGGAGGGGTAGGACTGAAGGGGGGGAATGAAGACTAATTGAATGAAGAGGAAGCGGGGGAATGAAGACTAATTGAAAGAAGAGGAAGCGGGGGAATGAAGACTAATTGAAAGAAGAGGAAGCGGAGGAACAGGAACAGGATAGTAGAGGGTGAGAATTGAAAGAAGAGGAAGTCGAGGAACAGGGTAGTAGAGGGTGAGAAGGGGGACTTCAGTGGAAATAAGTGGCCGGATGAGGAGAGGCATTGATGTGGTAGTGTGGATGTAAAAAAGGACAGAAGGTGGTGGATGGGGAGATTGTGGAGTGGTGGAATATAGGAAGAAGGGGGGACGACAGGGTGATGGATGACACGACAGGCAGGGCGACGAGGTTGGACGTGAGATCTGAGTGCTTTCGGCTGTTTCTGTCTATCATATTTATTACTCCCCGTGGTGTCCAGTTACCTCATATGAGCACTTGTGAAGAGTTGAATCCATGGATACAGTTGTGCGTCCTAATCATTTCGAATCCTGCTGCAATTACTTGGCTGAGAGAGTACTTCTGCAGGTCTGTGTGAAAGGTGCTTTGTCAGTATGGTCTAAACTTGTGGTCTTGATGTGTGGTCTCCTGCTAGGGTGTTGTTCTTTCACATGAAGCGTTGCTGGCAGTGATTGCATCCTGTGACATGTACCTGATGAAGGTCAATTTTGAGGTGCGATACTTACTGCCACTTTTCACCTCCTTACTGCTGGGTGAGGTTTAATTATGCTTGCTGAGTTGTAACCGAAGTCGTGCTCGTCAAGGGAGGGTGAATGTCTGCCAAATCATCTAGCTAGCAGCCGTGAGGAAGTTCTTACTACAGTGCAAATGGAGCATGGTGTGCGCATTCAGGTTGCAAATGCAGTGCACTTTGCGAAACACAGATGTGGAGCATAGTGTGCATATTCATTAACTGAGGGCCCAAAAACGTTTTTTTGGGTGGTTGGGGAGGTTGGGATTTGTACGTTTTTGTTTATTGTCGATTTATTTTGGCCAAGTATGTCCTTGCTTCACTGTCCAAGCATTGGCATGAGTGGGTGTGTCAGCATGTGTTGTGTGTTTTGTAGTGTGTGTGTGTGTGTGTGTGTGTGAGAGAGAGAGAGAGAGAGAGACACAGAGAGAGAGAGAGAGAGAGAGAGAGATGAATGGGCATCAGATTGTTGTCACAGAGAGAGAGAGAGAGAGAGAGAGAGAGAGAGAGAGAGAGAGAGAGAGAGAGAGAGAGAGAGAGAGAGAGAGAGAGACGAATGGGCATCAGATTGTTGTCAGAGTGGAAACTAAGTAGTGCTGCGTAGGTTTATAAACGTTTCTGTTTTTTCCTTCCCCTTGCCTGTGGGACTTGGCCCTATCAGGAACCGAACAGAAGGCACTAACACAAAGTTTAATTGTTCTTGTGGGGAATACAGTTCATCGAGACTCAGATCAATTGGCTGTGTGTATACAGGCCTTAGATGTCAATTGATTCCGGACGGAATGTAGACCTGCACCTGGACATGATGTATGGAAGCCGGAGGAAATTGTATTCAGATAATAATGCTAATAATAATATTAAGGAAGAGGGGCAGTGTGAATATGTGTGGGGACAGGCATAAGACACCGATTGCGTATGTGATTGTGCTTTGTGTCAGGGGATGATGAATGGGGGGAAGGGCTGTGAGTCAATTGAAAGACAATCGACTGGATGAATTAACCTCAGGTTCAGGAAGGGCTGAAGGGATGTGTGAGTAGTTAGAGAACCTTTGTATGAATAGCACTTATAATTGGTGTCAGGTACTTCGAGAAATGGGTTCCATGGTGTCTTCTCTCTCTCTCTCTCTCTCTCTCTCTCTCTCTCTCTCTCTCTCTCTCTCTCTCTCTCTCTCTCTCCTGTCTCTTATACACATCTAGATGTGTATAAGAGACCTCTCTCTCTCTCTCTCTCTCTCTCTCTCTCTCTCTCTCTCTCTCTCTCTCTTCTCTTATACACATCTAGATGTGTATAAGAGACAGCACACACATTGATTATTCTTTGATTTGGATCTGCTCATCTGGGTGGAACAGGGACTGTTGTGGTGAAAATTCAAAACAGACAACCATCCATCTCCCTATTTTTGGACCACGTTTTTTTACACACACGATTGACATTTATGACCCAGAATGTTGGTGTAAACAATTTTTTTCTCTCGACTTTCCGATGAAGGTCAACCCCCTCTTCTCTGATTCCTGTTCTCCATTCCTTCCCTACACCATGATTGCAGAGTGGGTGTGGAGATCACTTTGTAGAGGATAACACATAGCACATCACACCTTTGTCTGCAGTTTGTGAATGACAGTCCTGGCACCTCGCAGTTGCTCCACAAGTATGCACGCCAGCTTCTTGGAGCTGGTTCCGTTAAAGAAGGGTAAATTATGGATAACAGTAAGGGAATGCACTCGCTCTCGATGGACGACCTATGTGCGTGCCCTCGGAGCTGTGGGCTTGTGCTGTAGCTAGCTGAAGTTCTGGATATCTGTGTGGCAAGCGGAAGATTATCATGGCCGCTCCATGAGGATAACATGTGCGAAGTTGCAAACCAAGGAATGGTTCATTTAGTAATAAAAAAGAAGGGAAGAGAGTACCCATGCCGTGTGGCTGAATCGTACACTGTATTCATTAAAGTAGAGTGAACAGGTCATGGGAGGGTAGCTCGGCCGACGGTTCGGCAAGTTCACTTGCCTGGCTGCACTGGTTGATTGGACAAATCTTGGCTGTCCGGACTTTGCACAGCCTGGAAAGTTCTAGATGATGTTCACTGGTGGTGATCAGGGCTGAGACATTTTGCCCATAGCTCCCACTGTCCTTTGCACATAACCTCTCTGTCTCAGCGCGCTTTGTTGCTGCTTGCTTTGTTGCTCGTTTCTCTTCACCCACTCTTCAAATGCTGAGTTATATGGAACATAAATGTTCTGGATAAGACTTATCTTATATGGAACATAAATGTTCTAGATAAGACTGCATCTGCCCGACAAGGGCGATTGTACATGGTGTGTTGAACTTTTGAAATGATATATACGAATGTGCTTTTAACGGATGTGGTACGAGTGTCTGTGGCGTTCTGTGTAGTTTCGTCGATGCTTGGTTTCATCTACAGGCTTTGTGGAATAATGCCACTTGGTTTCTTCACCATCTGAAGGCTTGGTGAAATAATGGTATGGCCACGCCTTCAGTCATGCATTGCCAGTGGTAGTCCTTGGATTTGAAGAGTGTTTTGGAGAAATTTGGATTTGACCCATTCTGGCATGAACCGTATTTCCTTGTCTGACATTTTGCTGATGAGCAGATAACTGCCAAGGATGTGTTCATATCTTATCTGCCACTTGCACACATACTCGACCGAACATTGGAAGAGTTCATGATCTACAAAGGAGCGAAGATCGGTTTCTGGCAAGGGGTATGTATTAGCACAACTCTTCTGATTCACGTAGTATTGATTATGTGGGATCAAGCATGGGTAGTGGCAGACTTTTGAGGATCATTAGGATGGTATACTTCATGTCTTGGACAGACTATCCTCTTGCGCCCTACTTCATGTCTTGGACAAACTATCCTCTGGCGCCCTACTTCATGTCTTGGACAAACTATCCTCTGTCCTCCTAGAGCAGTCATGTTTTGCTGACGTGTAGTGATTGGTGTTGTTATACAGAAACACAATTGCTAGATACCCAGTGTATGTCAAACTTTGTTACCTTGAAAGCACCAGTACATGGGCACCTGGGCTGCGGGCCTGACACCTCAAATTCTGGAAGCGCTAAACGAAAACGCGACCGCCGATCCAATTTATCAACGGCAAGCCAAGCGTTTGAAGTTTGGGCCTCATTTTCTTCTGGCGACAAGTTTTGGACTGCAAGGCTGCAGCGTTGTACTCGTGGTTTAATGCCTGCATTTTCTGGATGCAATTGTGTGTTACTTTGAGGGGATACTGATGTCGTCTTGTTGAGTGCGCTCTAGCTGTGTCAATGGTGGGAGTCTGATACGGTGTGTTGATGATTTCTCGAGGAAAGGGGTTTGTGAGTGCATGCAGTGTGTAGCGGTATGCTGTAAATTACTAAATTCTGTCTGGGGAGGTATTGAAGTTATGCCTGTGTTTCTTAGGGGAGACTGGAACATATGAAGAGCCCATTTTCGAGATTGATCGAGGGCTAAAGCCTCTGGATGTTTTGCTGAGTTGGGTCATGGATAGAATGGTTCATATGCGGCTCTCAGGAAATGGAAATGAATGCTACACACTGTTGTCCTACATACTGTACGTTTTATGAGCCGAAGTTAAGTTATCATGAAGCTGCCTTCAGCATAGACTAGATTTAGGGCTAAATACATTGTTTGCTGATGCAGCCACACAAATTATAGGTTGTGGAACAGCTGTTTGACTCATGACTTTCGGACACTTTTCCTGACATGTACCCACCGTTGACTTACATATTGCAAGTGCTGGAACCTTTTGCTGTTTTGCTGCAGGATGTGAAGTTGCTTGTACATGATATTGGGGAGCTCAAGCCAACAGTCTTCCCAGGTGTTCCTCGCATATTCGACAGGATTTATCAAGGTAAGGATTGAGGGGCTGCATGGTAGGGGGGGAGGGGAGGGGGAGGGGCATTCTGGAAATGGAGTTGTATGCGGACATTATCCCAGCGTTTGTAGTTCAATAAAGCGTTACGAGTGCTGGGAATCAGAGAACTGTGAAGTGCTGAAGGTGCCACAAGTCAACAGAAATCTTTTATTGAATTTCAGGAAGTCTCTTCTGTGGACATGAGCTTTGAGTCCTCGGTAACATATTTCCCTAAGCAAAGATTGAATCATTGTGTTTTGAGCAATGTGCGGCGATGAGAAACGTATTTGCGGACCATCTATTAGTCCAGTAAAAAATGGGTTTTGTAGTCTAGTGCAGAAGCATGCCACATGGTAGTAGTCAACCTCAGTCAGGACTACCGACTTCGCTTGAGTAGGACACCCGGTTATCATGGCTGTATCTGGAGTGAAAGTTACCTCAAATACAGAGCTATACAATTCGGGTGAACACGGTAGCGTACAGTGCACTGACGTCGAGAAGGCCATAATCGTTCTGGCCAAGCGCGCAGGGAAAAAACATAACAGAGCTGTTCTCAGCGCCAGGGTGATGACCAGGCAAGTATTGTTAGGAAACCCATAAACTACTGTCTTCACCCGAAGAGAACGCCCGGTCATTATAGCCATATTTGGTGCAATTTTCAGTCCAGATACAGCTATAATGACCAGACGTTCTATTGGGGTGAAGACGGTAGTGAATGCGACTTTCAGGTGAAGCCCTATTCGGGTGAAGACGGTAGTGAATGCGACTTTCAGGTGAAGCCCAAGCTGTGAAGAAATCACGAAAAAGTTGGAGTAGCACAGGCATGCATTGTTAGGAAACCCATAAACTAACGTCTTCACCTGAATAGAACGCCCGGTCATTATAGCCATATTTGGTGCAATTTCCAGTCCAGATACAGCTATAATTACCAGACGTTCTTTTTGGGTGAAGATGGTAGTCAATGCGATTTTGAGGTGAAGCCCAAGCTGTGAAGAAATCACGAAGGAGGTTGGAGACTGGAACTGAAAGTCTCACATATTATTTTCCTTCCTCTGGACTTCAGTCTCATTGTGACAATGTAAACCGCTACCGTCTTCACCCGGATAAAATGCAGGGTAATTATCACTGCATCTGGACTGAAAGTTGTGCCAGGTGCAGCTATAATGACCGGGCGTCCTATTTGGGTGAAGACGGCATGTCTAAACTGTTCCAGATGATGATAGCTGACAAGTGGTCTCTAATCTACAATCCTCCTCTGGACTTTTAATAGTCCACAACCTTGTAAATGTTGGCACTGCCCTCTACTGTAGGCACGCCGTCTACTGTAGATACGAGGCACTGTTTCTGCCTCATCTTAACGAGTGCTTTTGGTGTCACTTCGTCTTTTTTCAAGAGCCTGTATGTTGCAATCCAAGACTCGAGCAGGAATGAAAACCGCATATGCCGATGATATGCGAGAATAAACACTAGACTGCCTACTACCATAGGCCCAAAAATTTGATTTCCACATCGGCAAAAACAGGGTCCGCATATGTTACCAGTGGCTAAGAATTGTGAAATTAAAACCTTGTGTAAGTTGTTTTCGTTGTCCTGATGTCGTCCTCTGTTCTGCCTATGGATTGACCAATCTGCTTCGCATGTCTGTTTGCATGAACACACTCTTGTGGAACCCGGGTATTTGGGTTGCATTGTTCTGTGTTCCTCCATGTATTCTGCTGGTTGAGCTGGAGGCCCTCCTGCATATCATGCATTATGTAGTCAAGATGGAGGTCATGTGTCTCCTGTCATATCTTCCAGAGGATCTTCTTTTCCCCCCTTGGGTATGAAGAGCGAGGGGCGACCGGAGGGAGGGAGCATAAGTGGCATGATGTCTACCGATGGCCATTCAGCTGTTGAACAAAATATTGGGCATTGAAGCGAAGCGTGTGTGTGTGTGTGTGTGTGTGTGTGTGTGTGAGAGAGAGAGAGAGAGAGAGAGAGAGAGAGNGAGAGAGAGAGAGAGAGAGAGAGAGAGAGAGAGAGAGAGAGAGAGAGGAGGAGGAGGATATTCTGCATATTCACTATCACTGAGGTGTGATGGTATATATGTTTTTTTTCCAGGTGTAACTGCTAAAGTCAAGGAAAGTGGCCGGCTCAAGCAGGCAATGTTCAACTGGGCTTATAACTGGTATGTAGGGCGAGGGTTCCTTGTTTCAACAGGTATCAACCATCCACTCACCCAAGGGTGTCTGAAGGGGCCCGTATTTCGTTATGATGTCTGGTGAAAATGATCTGTAGATGGAGGGGTTGGGTCGTAATACTGGGAATATTTTCATGGTGTGTCATGATAGATGCACAGGTTTTCTACCCATTAGTCATCGGAGGAAGCTTGAGGGGACAAGCAGGTAAGAGGGAAGGGATGAGTTTGGAGAGTAGGACCAGCTGATGCCTGTGCCTGTAATGTTGGGCGCTGACGTATGGTGATGACTGTGACAGAGGTGTGGACAGGTTCTGTCTCCAACAATGTCTTTCTGATGCAGAAGGTCAACATCCCAGATTGACGAACAATGGGCTTTTTTGGTGGGAGGGAAGTTCCAAGTGTGAAGCACTCTGGTTTACATATTTAGTTCTGGGAAGTGCCAAGTTAGTAAGACTATCTAGAAACTTCCGAAACAAATATAAGGGCAAGTGGTAACCAATCCACTCCTGTCAATGGTAACGAACTCGGAAAGGCACATATTCATCCAAGGGCAAATGCTAGTTCATCTCTCTCCTTCCTCTTCTATGTATGTGCAAGCTCCAGATCTCTTAAGGTACCAGAGAAGACCCGTCGTCCCCTGAATAAATGTATGCAACCTATGTGTGGGCCACCTGAGACTCTGTAGACGTATACAAGCTACCTTTTCGGTCAGATACAGACTCCTACCCGTCTTCCCCCGAATACAACGCACCCTAATGATAACTGTATGCAACCTATCTGGCTGGTCTGATACAGAGATGATGAGGGTGTGCTGTATTCGGAGGAAGACAGCAGTCGATCATACAAGTTTTTGGCATACGTAGCCATCTTACCTCACCTGAATGGTGAACACCATGCCGACAAACGAAGCCGTCAGCAAACCGACACCATTGATACCTCCCTCCCCCTCTCTGTCTACTCCTTCCATCTCTCGCGTATAATCTGCGAATCTGCCAGTGCTCATGAGGCTATCCAGATGTTCCGCTGCTGTAGTTTTAACTGGTGAAAAAAAAATAATAAAAATATAGCAATAACTTAGGTATCGGTTCTGCTAATGCTGTGTGTCAGAATATCTTCGTCTTATGAATGTCCGGCAGCTGGATTACTATGTGTTTAGGCAGTGGCAAAGCCTGGAGGGGAGAGAGTTGGAAATTGAGAGAGAATTGTAGATTCATGTCCTGCAATTGCAGTTCTCTTTTATTCTCCTTCAGGGCTATCTTTTATTCTTTGTGAATCAGCTAACCAGTAAGATGCTACCTCCTTCTGGCACTCTGCTCATCGTGCGGTGATGTTTTTCTGACGATACAGGAAGTTATCTCGGCTGGAGCTTGGAATTCCGAGTTCCAAGGCAACTCCAGTTTGGAATATGCTTGTTTTTGGCAAGGTAGGCATCAAACCACTAGTACCTCCGAGCCTCTTTTCCCCGATGCGGATTTTCCCTGCGCGCCAATAGAAAAAGAGCTGGCATCGGTGTGCATTTGTGTGTTATGATTTGCGTGGTGGCACAGCCATCTCGTTCCGCTATGTCATCAGTGACTAATGACTGGGAAAGGTAAAGTATATGGGATTTCGTATGTGTTTAAGGCTGTGCTGGAGATGTCGCTGAGGTGGAGGTGATTTTGTGTGTGTTAAGGCTGTGCTGACGTGTGCACATGCTGAGCTCTGGGTAATGCGACTGTAACCTCTGTGGTGAAAATAATAAAGCTCAGAATGCTCGTGCAGGAATGAATCTTGGAGAACCGCGTGTAAGAATCTGATGTGGAATTGATGCTTGCAGTGAGCTATGGACTTCACAGCCTTGGGGTATTGGTGGCCTGTGTTCTGTTTTCGATATCGTGTGAAATGGTGGATTGGGGGTTATGCCTACTCTGTTGATTTGGAAGGAACACTAGGGCGCTTACGGCAAGGGAATTATCTGGAGTTTTCGTAATAGGGCAATGATATGTAGAGTAACATTTGTTTTGGGGTGCGGCTGTGAAGTCATGTTTCACATTAAGTGCTGGTCAAAGCTGAGGGATGTGAGGACGCTCGCTGCTTGATTGCACGCATAGTAGGGGCATTGTGCATGCTTGGCCACATGTTTGCCGTCTGTGATCTGACTGGGCATGTAGTTTGGGTGGAAATGTCCATTGTGGCATGCTTTTGAAATTCTCTTCCGGTGGAGTGAAAGATGGTTATAAGTTGGAGGCTTGGTACTTAGCAGCTCAGCTGACAACCTGGCCATTTGCCTGATAATGTCCTGTACAGATCAAGCAACGACTGGGGGGACGTGTGAGAATTATAATCTCGGGAGCAGCACCTATTGCCCGGCATGTTGAGGACTTCATGCACGTAGCAATGTGTGCCCCTGTCGTTCAAGGATATGGTGAGCAACCGCCGACCCTCCCTCCCTGAGTCCCTGGTCAAGCACCCTTGTATCTTTCTGCAGGTTCAACCCATCCCTGATTGCCTGTCCCCACTGTATTTATGACCACCTGCTGATGCAGTGGGTGATTATCAAGAAACCCGAATAATGGCTGTGGGTTTTGCACATGAAACTTGATGAAAGGGCTTTCCAGTGTTGTGTGCACCTGCTCTGCTAGTAATTGTGTATTACTCTTCCGTGTTTGGTTGTGCAATCCTTTTTATCCCCTTTTTTGTCTTTTTTAACGAAGGCATGGGATACTATTGGAGGTGGTATGAGCATGCCCCAGTAGTAGCCCGCCCATGGGTCCTGTGACTCCTGTCAACTGGAGAGGCGGTTAACGGAGGCCCTAATTTTCAGACTTGTCATGCCATTTACAACAAAATCTAAGGGTCATTTTTACCAAACTTACCACCAACTGTCACCAAGTCAAAGAGTGGAGGTGGTAGTTACTGCAAAAACAAAACCGAAAAAAAAAAAAAAACCTACAGGCAAAAAAAAAGGAAAAATATATATAAAATCACCAGGGAAAGACGGTGAGGGAAAAGATCCAGGAACTGTTGAAGGGGGGCAGCAATGTGACTGCTGGGCTGAATCTTAGTCCAGCCCTCAAATTCCAACCTGTAGTTTGTGAAGGTTCTGATCATGTGGTTGGTCCCTTCCCCCCCCCCCCCCAGTGGATGCTTGACTCAACCACCCTGATCACCCCGCAGCCAATGTTCTGAGAATCATCTGATTGCTTGCTGAATGTCTATCTTTGTGTGATAGAGGTCCAGTTGCATCTTCACTGTTAGCTGTTTTTCTGTCTTCTCCAGCTGGAGCCGTTCTTTTTATCTTATGAATTTCCCACCCTCCACCCATACATCTTCCGTTACATGTATGCATCTCCTATGCCAACAGCCCCAGAGGACCGCTCTCCTTCCCATATTAAACACAATTTCCTCGTGGAGATTTTCACGCCCTGCACAGGAGTGCTCCCCATTCCCAAGGCCAGTCCGAGCCAGTTCCCAGGTGTCGCCATATCCGGTCCCACCAGCGCTGTGAGCTTTGCTGTTGGGCATTGTAAAAATACATCTTCAAAGGGTTTCGTGGATTTTGCGGGGAGGGAAGTTACTTTGACAGGATTTGCACCACGGAAGTAACTCTTCCTGGTTCGTGTGGTCAATCGACCGTTCATTGGTGGTCATCGGTGGGTAGGCATCGATGCTCTAGTTGCTGCTGCAGGGAGGTCAGCTTGGTCCAGTTCTTTTTTTCGCTTCTTTTCTCTGCGACCCCCCTTGCCACCAATAATTAGAAAATGTTAATGCCAAAATACAAAATCATTGCACAAATTGACAACAGGCCTGAGTCGGTTTTGTGTGGTTTGCCCTTGGTTGATTATGGTCCTCCTTTGCGCAGTATTGCGCAGTATGAGAGCAACTGTAGTATGCAACCCAACCTCAGAGTTTTAAAGTGAACATCAGTAGTCTGTATATTGCAAGAATCTGGCAGAGAAGCAAAAAGAAAGCCACATAACATCTAATGTGGAAAGATTCTAAATATGGATACCCTATCGTTTTGAGCAATGATCACTACCAACATGACTGTGTCGGTTCACATGTGATGAAATTGCCGTGCGATCAACGATTTTGAGACGTCGGATACGAATCTGACGTGTTTGACGCGCCGTGAAACAATCTCGACCGATGATGCATGGATCGTGAGGCGTCCGATACAAAATCTGTCGTGTCTGATGCGCCTCAGCCGGGCGCCGTTTCGTTTCTTTTTCTTTTCTTTTTTGTTTTTTTTTGTTTTTCTACTTTTTTTGCGTTTCGGGTGGCAGTTTCACTGCTTTCCTTTTGCTTTCGCGCCAGCCCTCCGCGCCTACCCTCCGCCCTCTGCAGCCACCCTCCGCGCTTTGGCCTTCGGATTTCGCCCTCTTCCCCCGCCCTCCGCTGGGCGCCATTTCTTTTTTTTTTTTTTTTTTTTTTTTTCCTACTTTTTTTGCGTTTTGGGCGGGAGTTTCACTGCTTTCCTTTTGCTTTCGCGCCGGCCCTCCGTGCCCGCCCTCCGCTCTCCGCACCCAGGCTCCGCGCTTTCGCCTTCGGATTTCGCCCTCTGCGCCCGCCCTCCGCACCTGCCCTCCGCAGTTTCGCCCTTCGCCTTCGCCCTCCGCGTCCACCCTCCGCGCAACGAAAGCGCTTTCGCACCCGCCCCCCGGTGCACACACACACACGCAGCCGCCCGCCTGCCCGCGCGCGACCTATTTGCCACTACGTCTCTCTCTCTCTCTCTCTCTCTCTCTCTCTCTCTCTCTCTCTCTCTCTCTCTCTCGGTGGTCCGGATCCCATGCATTTCCTTTTCTTTTTTTCATTTTTCATTTTTTCCAGAAAAAAAAAAAGCGTAGACACAGCCCGGCATATAGTTTTTTCATGGGAGCCTCTCTCTCTCTCTCTCTCTCTCTCTCTCTCTCTCTCTCTCTCCACGCCACCCCGGCATATAGTTTTTTTTAAAAAAAAAAAGGCTAATACTTTTAAGCCCAACCAATTCAATTACCCGTCGAATCTGGACAGGACGGCCTTTCAGGCCTTTTTTATTGTCATTATAGTATTACGGGGAACCCCGTAGCAGCCACATCCGTGCTCAAGCCTCCAAYGAGGGAACATGCGGGAGCTGCASCCACTASCAGGTTTGTCATTATAGTAYTACGGGGAACCCCGTAGCAGCCACATCCGTGCTCAAGCCTCCAACGAGGGAACATGSCGGAGCTGCACCCACTAGCAGGTGCGATACCTGCTACAGCAGGTGGGCGATACCGGCCAGGGGTCAGGCGGTAGCATCAGGACGGACCTTCTTCGATGTGCCAGTCACTGTGCCTCCCCTCCGGTCCCCTCCCCCTATGAACATCAGCAGTCTCTGCTCAATGCCACTCGGGGGGACCGAGGGCATATCTCTAGGTGGCGGGCAAACTATCCGCTACAGTGCCAACAAAGCCCTGAGTGACATCTGCAGCAATGTCTTGCGCGACGTTTAACACTTGAGATTCGCGGAACACAGATGAGAACATTGACTATGACACCGATGATGTGCTTTCTTTAGATGACGACCTCGGTACACCGTACGCCTCGGACACAGAATATCGCACGCAAGCATCTAAATTGGGCAAACGCAGAAGCATGCCTGCGGACAATCCTCGCACCTCTTCCACCCCTGCACAAAACATGCATACACGCAAATCACCTGCTGCAGATGACAACCAAACAACGCAATCCCCTCGCACACAACAGCAACACACCTCTCCCAAGACGCTTCAACGCCCCCAAGCTCATCCTCTGGCACTAGCAGGTCATACAGACCACAGCCAGCCACCCAACAGACTGACCCAAGCAGATACTTATCTGCGTCCATACCCTGCGCAGCATGAACCTCACATGCACAGTCAGCAAATGCGAGCATCACCCAACACCCAACAGCACAGTCAACCCAACAGACTGACCCAAGCAGATAACATGAAACTGAATGGCAAGCAGCCGCTTTCAACCCCCAGCCCATCTCAGAATTACACCGACCACTGTCAACACCCCTGCTGGCTCAAGAATCAGCCTCTTCCAACCAGCCAACACAAGGATTCATCCACACCTCAGCCCGCAACAAACCCCCCCCGCCACCAGCCGTCACATGCTGCACCCGCGGAACAGAAGGTAGTTGCCTCAGTCAAAAATGGATACCGCRCCGGTGTCACCTTGGTGTATCATCGGTTGAATTGGTGGGGAACACCTATCTGGCTGGACAAAGCTCGTACTGTCGAGYTTGATCATCAACTCAGTAACAAGTTTAACCGCTGGTCAGCTATTCTTGACTATGTAGGTAGACGACGTATGCTCAATAACCTCCTCTTCCGTCATTTCTTTGATCAGGGAGTCGAGCCGACAGAACACATTTGGCGAGACTTCCTTCTTGCCAGGGGAACCATCGAACGTTCATTTCTTGAGTGCCCAGGCAAAGAGATTGTCGATAATGGCAATCTTGATGATGCCGAGCTCCTCATTACGCCAGATTGTTAGCTGCACATTCTCATCAGTGTCTGCCGTAAGTATAAGAACGCCTTGCTGGATGATTTACAGGCACGCCAGACTTGAATTCCTGGCTGATCAGCTTCCTAAAGAATGCAGGGTTGATAACCCGTACCCCAGGGCATGCAGAAGGTCATGTCCGCTTGCCACATACACTCCGCAGAAACATTGGGTTTCTTCAGAATATGTGCGATGGCGGACAGAACAATTGGAAGCCAAGAAGGCTGCACCTGAGGGCACAAACAGCGACAACAGCACTGCATCACCAACACCGATGAACAAAGACCTCGCAACAGTTTCATCTCCGCCACCTGCTCCTCATCCCGTCCGACGCCGTCTCTTCTTGCCACCGACTCCGCCACCTTTTCTGCTTACCCCCATCAATACCCACGTCACCTCTTCCCTTCCTGCAACTGAAGCTCCTCTTCCGCTCTCCACARACACTAACTGGCTGACACAATTGGAGGGGATTTMTCCGCACAATGTTRTTGAAACGYTCACRKYGATTGATTCCAATCACAGGTTGCAGCAGATAAGTGCGRTGCTGGCTACAAAGAATCAGAACAGCAACAAATGGACTGCACTCGAAGCCATGCTCTATGTCGACTACTATCGCCAAGGCCATGACGAAGTCACGACTTTTGAGGATTACAAGAGCGCTGCAGCATCCTACATTGCACTCCATGARAAACTGYGCSGTTCCTCAGTTGWCAAAGCATTTCCGTRACATTGTCGTCAATGTCCATCATATTATGAATACATTCTGTGTGTACAACTGCCCRCATTCGAGTTTGGGTGCATGCCAAGCTTAGCCGCATTTGGTTGGGTTCACCSACAATCTGCGCAACACCTGCAATGATGCAGGCATAGTGAACTGTACACGTTCTAAGAGCCGGCTACCTATATAGTACGAAAGAGCCATGCACAAGGCAACATGCACATCCAACCTACGGGTTGAAATGGGACATCAGTGCATCACAGAGGTAGACGATCAGAGTTGTTCAGACGTGCGCAGACTTTGACAGGGTGGACAAAACACCTGCTCATTTTCGATTTTATGTCAATTCTGAGCATGTGAAGTTGTCCTTTTGGATGTCCTTGAACTCTGTCATCGTCCTATCTCGAGTTGTTTCCCTCTGCTTCCTATTCCAACTTGCCGGTGGACACGGATTGTCTTGACGCATTTACTTATCATTGGTGAATTTGAATGCACGAAATGTGACACCTCTGCTCGTTCCCATTTCTCATATATACGTTAATGTGAATGCACTATGAACGCACAGAAAGAACTCAATCCATTCTTCGATGACTAGGGTAATCCTACTGCATAATTCTTAGACTTTATTGCCACGGAAATGTGCTCTCCATTGCCATGTGGACCTACCACTTCTCGTCACCCATGATGTTCGTGCCATGCTGTGGAACCTTTCACTTATATCTTACCTGCTTCGCGTTTCTCCATTAACTCTTATTGTCCTGTCTTCAAATGTCAATGCAACCGACAACAATATTCAGTACAACTGAAGCACGCGGGCGAAGCCGCGCTGGCCACATCTTGTTTGAAATTAACTTTTTTTTTTTTTTTTTTTTTTTTTTAATTTGGACCATTTCTCGATTTATGCGTGTCATCATGCTAATCTTCTCTGTATCGGTCCAATTTTAACGGATGTCCCTAAGGACATTTTTCAATGATTTTAACATGCTCTTTTCCTGCTTTTGAGAGTTCTCCTGGAGTCCATTGGTGGATTTCCACTGTACAGATGCCTTTGTTACTCGTGCTTGATGAATTGATTGTGAGCTGCCATTACCGATTGCTCCCCAGCAGAAGGTGCGTGCATGCAGGTGGTGGGACAAGGAGTGGGTAGGTTTGTCTGTGGGACTTTTGGTGCTGCCACTTCCTGTGGTTGGTGACGTGCGAAAGGTGATGTCATCTGACCCTCGGTTCGTTATCAACTGCAGGGTTGACGGAGACTTGTGCTGGCAACTTCATTTGCATCCCTGACCAAAAAATGGCCGGGACTGTGGGCCCTCCTTTGCCAAACGTTGATGTTCGACTGGAAGCCGTACCTGAGATGAATTACGATCCCTTAGGAAACCCACCTCGAGGAGAGATTTGCATGAGAGGAAAGCCACTTTTCAAGGGGTACTACAAGAGAGATGACCTCACGAAGGAGGCAATTGTTGATGGCTGGTTTCACACAGGTAATTTTTTTTGTTCTCCGATTCTGATCCTCAAAAGTTACCATAGGTGGCAAATGCATCGAACTCGAGGAACCTTTCATCTGATTGCTTATCTAAATGGGGATGGTTGAAGTTGAGTGGTTATTTAGTGAAGCACATATGTTATGGAGGGTGTGGATAATGACGAGTGAAAAGTGCGGACCGACTGTGGCATGATTGCCAAATGGCTATCTTACGATCACTTGCATTGACTGCTGTTTTGATTCGTGCAAAAGGTGGGGGACACGTATGTCATCCGATTGCTTATATAAATGGGATGGTTAGCTAGGCTGTTTGCCCGGGCGCCCGGGCACCCAACTTCTGCGCGGGTACACGCCCGGGTGCCC